GTTAAGTGAGAAATACCTTTAAGGCTGCAAGCCTGTTGATTTTCCTTGTTCCAAATTATTGGAACTTTTTTCTCATCTTCCATACTTTCTCTACTTCCTTCATCCAATTTTCTTCACCCTCGGGAGGCATGACAAGGACCACCTCCTTAACAATAACATTCTTTGAGTTCCACTTATTTTTTCTTTAGTTTTAGGGAAAACTGTACTAAAATATTCATAAAGTGACGAAAGTGGAATATTCCATTTTGTCATATCAGAGGTCATCTTCTGTGTTTTATATTTTTCAAACTGAATTTCATCGAGTGGCTTTAGTGGAGGCCTTCTAAGATACCTTCCTCATTAAGTTATGCATCATCCATGAACATAAACTTCTCTAATAATTGTTCTTCCTTGGTTTTCCTTATTCTTTGAGGGAATGATGGGGGCAATATTTCTTGAAAAAAACTCTTGATTCCCCGGATTCTGGCATGTATAATAGTGTTTCTATAGTTGCAGGTGACATGATAGAAGACTTCTCTTTCTACAGATTTAGATTTGATAAATCAGCAATTTCAACAACAACGGTGGGTTGTTCTATTCCATCTTTTGGAGTGTCTTCTTCTAACATATCATTTGTCTTTGGTTCCTCATACTCATATGAGCTTATAACAGTAGCGATTTGGCCAATTTGAGTCTATAAATGTTTTATACTCTCCCTTTGAGCTTAAATATGACTTTGTTTCTTGCATGATAGTTTGATAAATAGACTCCAATTGGTTGGTTCCATTAGTTGTCTCATTTTCATTAGGAATAAAACTTGGGTGATTCATCCATCCTTAACAAGAAAAATCATAGTAATATGTCATGTCATTCAGTGGTGTGACATATGTCACATCAAGTGGCTTGGTAAAGTACTTCAACATGTTGTGTATTCTGATAGTTGAACAACCAAGACTGTGGTTTGACTGATATCCATTATGGAAAAATTAACATGTGCATGCATCACTCTTGCACACTTGTCATGTCACTAAAAGATAGGAAAAATGAAATGCTCAAACGTATATTTTACAAACTTCATTGAAATATCAAAATATTAATGAAAAAATCCCCAAAAACGGCATCAAAATCATGATGGCTTATTTTGTACGTGCAAGTATATATGGTCAAATTATTAGCAAGTGATAAGAAAGAGTATCGATCATATAGAGATTATATTATGCATGTTGATTTTCATACAAGAAGTCGTAAAGTAAATATGAGAAAAGGTAATAAAATAATGGTATGTGTCACCTGGTTAAGAAAGTGGAAAAATAGAGAAGATAATTAAGGGTTAACACATAATAGAAGAATATGTTGGACAATGTTCCATTTTGATATGTTCTTTCATGACAGATGAAACCTGAATTTGATCTAATGGTGTATGTCTATAATATTAAAATAAATGCAACTAAACTAAGGAAAAAATTCCTAAGTCTCAAAATAGCATTAATGCATGTCTTTACTGAGTTCTGCTTTCCCTATGGTTTTAGATCTGTATCCCTATATGACAAATATTCTTATTAACTTTCTTATCCATATTTATCATGAGTTCCACTTATTAAAGGATTTCTCAATATTAATAAGTTGTTATCTACCCCAAGGTGGCCAGAAAAAGGAATAAAAATATGGCATAAATTTATATGAATAAATATATCAAGACAACTCATTCGTAACATCCAAAAGATTACTAATTCATTAAATTTCATATTATCCAACAAAACAAGATTAGTGCATAATGAGTAAAATCAGGACAACACAAAAAGATTTTAAGATACACATTCCTAAGCAAGAAGATAGAATTGATAAACCTAAGGGTAACACTTTACTTTCAATTTATTAATCAACAAGTGACATCTTCTGTCACACCTCTCAATGTTGTTTCCTTTACTTTGATAAGATCGGAGTTGTGTCGGAACTCTTCGTATTCCTAAATTTTTCTTCTACATAATTTTTTCCAAGTTTCAAAACATCTTTCTTCATTGCATTGCACCTCTATTTATAATGGTTTTTCAGCTGCATAATGTCTCTCTATTTGGTTTTTGGGCCTTTATAATGATCCATTAACTTAAGCCAAAAGAATAAAGTATATTTATTCATATTTTACTATAATACTACACTACACATTGAAGACAACATGACGTTGTGGCAGTGCTACAGGAGTAGCAACAACGCAGGAGCAACAATAACATGCCAAAACAACTTTTCATATGTTTGTCCTCTAGCTTTAATCTTCACCTCTTTAACTTTACAGATCAACCCTAATTTCTTTCATTCAAACTCGATCACACCAGCCCTAGAATCTTCTAACTCAATGCCTACTGAGTATGGGTCGTAGACTTTTGGCGTGACACAACTTGTCACAAGAGCTATGTATACACAAGCACAAAACACATAAAATTGACAAAAGACAACACCTAGTGTGCTCTATCCTAAGTTAACTAAAGTAACATAAAATTTAAATAAATTACATTATTCGAGATATAAACTACCCTAAAATCCAAGTATAAAAGACTTAACTATCTCACACAAAATGAGTTATCATTCTTCAAAATAGACTTTAGTGGTTCTCTCCGCTATGGAAGCAGAGTTTGTGGCTTGTTTTGAGGAATCAAATTATGCAATTTAGTCACGAAACTTTGTCATAGGCCTACACATTGTTGGGAGCATAGAAAGACCCATTAAGTTTTCTATTGGCAATAGTGAAATTGTGATTTACTCTAAGAACAATATGAGTTCCCCAAAATCAAAATTTATTGATATCAAGTATCTTGTTGTGAAAGAAATAGTTCAAGATAAACAAATTTTGATATGTGGACCAAATTAATGATAGCCGATCCACTAACCAAAAGTTTGACAACTAAGATTTTTCATGCGGATGTTGGTCACATAGATCTTGGTTTTGAGATTTTCTTAGACTAGTGAGAGTCTTTTCCTTATTTTTCTATGTTATACGCTTTGATATTTGTTTGGTACAAACTTTATGTTATGTTTAATTTTCTGCACAAATAAAAATTTATGAGGTACTATTGTTATAACAGTATCAATTTTTTTTTTATTTTGTGCAAATATTGAATTTTTGAGTTGTACCTCAGAAACTTCAAATTAATCTCAATAAAGACTTCAGTAGAACTAGTTTAAAATATGCATGATTTAGATATCACACTGCATGAAATTTTTATGTTACTCATCCATATCGATCTATGTCATCAAGTACATTGATCTGTTGATCGTTGGGTTCCATCACGTTATATGTTAGTCAAGACAACAACAATGATTCCATTATTGATGTATGAGGTGAACCAAATTATAAAGTTGAAATTTAAAGATAAATATCATTCGAATGCACACCTGAATTATTATAATATAATTATTAAGATATATCATTAAGTTGGAGTTAATTGAAATATTTTACACTTTTATATTATTTTAATCATTATTACACGGATAAATATATTTTAATTATATTATCTATTTTATTTTATCATATTAAGTGTCTTAATTTTTTTTTTTGAATAGAAAAGAATTCTTTATTAAAAAGATATCAAGTGTTATTAAGTGTCTTAAATAATTAAATCATGTTAAAAAATTAATTAGATTTTATTTAAAAATTAATTAATTAATTGGGAATGAATCCAATTTCAGAATAATGAAAATTCAAATTATTCATTTTGAGGCGATTATAAAAAAAAACCCTTTAAATTAAAATAAAAAAAGAATCTTCTCTGTTTTATGAGATAAATATTAAACTATTTAAGGGAGACTTTAAACCCCCTGAATTTGATAAGTCATTTACCATTTTATTTTACTTTATTTATATTTATAAACTATATATGGAGTTCATAAATAAGAATTAGAAGAGTGAAGAACTCCCTTATTTCACGTGAAACCTTATTACCTGAGTGTGCTTAATTAGATTCATTGACTTTGGTGAATGTACTAGTAAGTGTTAAGAGCAATCAATCATATTATTGCTAATGAATAATATTATGGTCTTCGCTTGGTCCTGTAGGTACATCCAAAGAAGATAAGATCCCATATTGGATTGTACACATTTGATGGAACTACTGGTGTTAGGTAAAGACCAAGACACAACAAGTAAATCCTTTAAATTTCATTATTGAATAATGATAGCCATAGCTCTATATTTCCGTCCTTCTTATCACCACTTTGTAAATATTTTTACATATTTTAAATATTTCACGGAGGTTATTAACCTCCAAGTAAAATCGCCACAATTCAATTAGCTTGATACTACTGCCATTCAAAACCCTCTCAGATAATTTGTGGGAATAGTATAAGTTGTCGTTTTTATAACTTCCGCAAAACTATTTGCCGAGCTTGAAAACTCTCGATAATTTACTTAAAAATCCGTGCAATTCAGACGTGTTTTTTGTAGTTGATCACTCTATAGATAAAATATAATCTCTAATATGCGATACACAGATTAATTGTCTCTTCTCCTTATTTAAAGAGTTATCGATTGAAGAAGAACTACACAAGCTATTAAATGTTTGTTGTTCATCTCTTTTTTTAAATAAACATTGTTGTTCCTCTCTTAAATTACCATCAACATGAATTTTATCAATAATATATATATATATTTTGAAGATCTGATTACATCAAAGTCTTACACTAAATCTTGACCGTTAATAAGAATAAATCAAACAATTATATAGTATCATATTTTTTAATATATATATATATATATATATATATATATATATATATATATATATATATATATATATATATATATATATATATATATATATATATATATATATATATATATATATATATATATATTGTAACTGAATTACTTTGTTAGTACCTTTCCTTGAATTTTCCAAAGAAATTACCCATTAGTTTCTAGAATTTTAAAGGTAAAATATAACTATCAAACAATATATATATATATAGCATGAATACGTTGGATTGGATCAACCATTCTAGTTGTAGTTCATCTTAATAGAAAAACAATCATGGGTAATGTTGAAAGACCAAGATACATATTTAAGCGACGTGGTGAAGTGACAATCAATATTGTCCCAGTTGTTAATGGTTCTAATAACATAGGATGGGGAGTTGAAACCAATCCTTTTCATAGCTTTTTAGCCTTCATTTTCTATGTACTTGTTGGTTTCCTTCAAATCAGTTATCCAGATAATCCCACTGCATTTCATGTCCATCCAAAAACAATGTTTGTCTCTATCTCTAGCTTTTTACTATATTGCTTTCTCTTCTGGGTTAAGATTAAGTTTGTCACCACAAGGATTGAAACTTTCATAGAAGTGTTTGGATCACTTTCAATAATTTCCTTGGTTTTGATGTTCCTTCCAGACAATTGGGGATTATGTGGATACATTATCATATACACAATATGGCTCATTTTTCATGTATTGCTTGTTATTTTCAGACGCAGTTTGGTTTGGAAACGTCCACTCATGAATAACAAGTTGCCATCACTCCTACCGTGTACTTCAATAGACTTGAATTAGTTATAGATATTTGATCACTAGATTATTACTATCCAAACTACTGGTATGGATTTATGTTTGATAAATGTAATAGTGCTATAAAAAGTTGAACTACTAATATAAGTTACGGATTTTAGAGTTTTGTTTATAGTACTCCCCATAATCCTTAGTATTACACATCAAGTACCTAATTAATAATATAACAGGCCACTAAACATCCTAATATACCCTTAATTCAAAATTTGATCACACGTTAAAATGCTCTCTTATTATAATTTGCTAAATCAAATTTAATTTCAATCAAATACTTTTACCATTTCTCCAAATGGCACCCATTTCACATAGTAATAAACCAATACTGTATTTGTATGCATACGAGACATGTATTTTATTTTTTTAATAAATTTTCTTATCTTGATCTTTGTGCAAGAAATTTCTCTATTAAATTTTACAGTGTAGAAAAAGGGATATAAAGATAACATTCCTCATTCTGCATGGGTCTTCTAGTAGTTCAAATAATAATATATAAAATTAATAGTTGTAACTAAAATATACAGTAGTACTAATAATAGTTAAGAGGAAAACAAAACAATTCTCTTTCATCCAACAAGACAACATAATTAGGCTAAAAAAAGTTGTTAAGCTCTACCATCAAAACATATAAAATAGATAGGTCAATTAAGACCTAATTAAATATTCATCTCAAAATAGAAAGTTATCCTCTTTGCAGATTAGGGATATACTAACATTCATCCTGGAATATAATGCAATTTCTCTTCTTCCTCCTTATTCTTCTTCTAAATATTCATCACAAAATAAAAAAATTATCCTCTTTTACAGATTAGAGATTACAAACATTCATCCGGAATATAAAGCAATTTCTCCTCCTCCTCCTCCTTAGTTGGCAAGAAATTTCTACAATATTTAAATATCTTAGATGTCAGAAAATTTTATCTTGGTTGAATCTTTAATTCAAATATTGTTTAGTTGGTTAACCTTAAATCTTTTTTATTATCTATTAACTTATTATCTTTGACATATTTTAGGATGTCAATAAATAAAAATGTTATTTAAATTTTAATAGATAGTTTTAGAGTTCTTCCCCTTTTTATATATAAGCTTTAATTTTATAATTTTTTTTATAGAAACAAATCCTATGATTTGGCATTCTTATTTTAGATATCATTTTTAATTAAATTCATGACCATGTTATTGTTTGACGGAGAAGAAGATGTATAGTGGTGGACTATTTGCATTGCAAATTTTTTCAAGGAGCAAGGAATGCCAAGTACATATTAAAGGCGTTGAAAGATGTTGGAGCATCGAGAGGACACTATCCCAAATGGTATATCAGATGGTTTCGTGTTAAGCGCAAATCAAATTGGGATACATTCACTGCATCCTTTTTATGGCATTTCAAACAGGAATGGCAAAACCTTTATGAGAAAATAGAGCCAACATGTGCATTGATTAGACCTGTCGAGGAATGTTTCTTTCTTGAAGATTAAATTACCTATATATTACTTGTTGTTGTTGATCAAAGACTTCTAAACTCATCACCCATTGTGAAGCAGACACAAATTCATTTGCCTTCTCTCATGACATATATCTAACTAGTAATAATATCACACTAATGATTCCCATCAGCAAGCCTCATTCTAATGGTAAAGGTTTCCTCAACCATGTTGATTTTACGATTTCTCTAAAGCCACCAAATCCTAGTATTGACTTGAATAATTCCATCCTGCCTTCATTACCTCCTTCAAATCTAAACACTTCTTGTGAAGAAAATACTCTCCTTGACCTTGTCTAAGGTTTTTATGAAAACAAATATATAAAAAAACTAAGAAAAAGAAATAAATGATAATAAAGAAGAAAAATATAAAGATATCAATGATAACAAAGAAGAAAAAGTTAAAGACAATGAATAATAAAGATGAAGACAACAATCGATCATGACAAAGTGACCAAGATCAACATTGAATAAAGTTAAGATTTTATTTATCTTTTATATATCATCATTCATCTTATATATCACTTAAAATATTAGAAAATATCATCCAAAAGTTAACCTCAAATATTTTACAAATTTATCGCAAAAAAATTATTGAAGTTGTGTCTTTAAAAGTTATTTTTAGTGTTGAAAGCATAGTTGTATTTGGATACAGTCTTAGTGTATTCAAATACAAGTGACAATGTTTCAAAAAGTTAAAACGTTACAATTGTGGTATTCGATTACAAGTTTGTTGTATCCTAATACAACATGAACCAATTTGTTTTTTGAAGAAACGAAAACAATGTTTTGATTGGAAATACTTCACGAAACTTTTTCAAAGATACACAATCATTCATAGAGGTTTCTAAGTGTGTGTGTGTAAATGATGGTTTAACATGAAAAATAAAATAAAAACTTTTGCATTATCATTCACGCAAATCAAAGATCATTTTCAAGAAACATTCAATTTCAAAATGACTTGAAACTTGTCAACTTTCTTAAATAAGAAATTTTTTGAAACTAAAACAAAATTTGAGCAATCTTGTCATATAATTTGAATTGTGATATTGATAAAATAAATTATATAATTCTATGATTGGATTTGAGATTTAATAGCCTACTACATCCTTCATTTATAAACAAAGTTTAAGTATTTATATTGTTGAAGTGTGCTTTAAAATCTTTGTTGACGAAGAGAAAGAAAATATATTTTGAGATTGCCAATAACCAGAAAATGAAAAAGCAACAAGAATATCTAATTAGGGCGGTTCACGAATTTCGGGTTTGACCGATTCAGGTTATTTAATGTAAGAATATTGGATATATAAATAGTCTAAATTAATAAAAAAAAATATATATATATATATATATATATATATATATATATATATATATATATATATATATATATATATATATATATATATATATATATATATATATATATATATATATATATATATATATATATATCTTTGTTTGTGTTTAAGGAGGGTGAATCTTAAAGTTTACAGAAAAAGGGAGAGTAAGGGTTTAGGTTATTCACAAGGGAAGCCTTAGAAAGGCAAAGGTTTAGGGAAACCTTTGGAGTTGTTTAAGGTTATTGACAAAATACTGGTTACACATTGGATTTGAGTTATTCATATATTGAGAGTTGGAGAGGTTGAAAAACAATTTGGCAAAAAATAAGTTGTTCTTGGGCGCCTTCAGGGTTGTTCTTGGGAACTCTGAAGGTGAAGGCTATTTTCTTGTAACTCATCTTCAATCTCTTGTAATAATTCTGACAATAGTAAATTTGAGAGCTGCTCTCTCCCCTAAAGTAGATTTTTTGAACGAACCGGGTAAACAAATCTTTAGTCTTTTTCTCGCTTTATTATGTTATATCTTCTATTTATTATTTATCATTGATGAAGGCCGTTTATTTTAGTTGTTACTGTTATTTTCCTCACATATTGAAATTGAACCTTGTCATATTAACAACATATATATTTCATCATAGTGTGTTGGTGAAAGGTGTTTGTAAATCAAAAGTGGTATACTTTCTGTATTTTTGTGAGGATCATCATAGTATTTGGTGATTGTTGAAAAGGTTCTTTGAGTCAAAAAGATTCAGAGTCCACCATATCTTTTGGTGTTTGTTTATGTTTTAGAAGGTTGTAAACAGGTCTTGGTGAAGACTTGTACAAGGATCTAAACATATTGAATAATCCTCTAAGGAGTATAGGAACTAGATGAACTCTTGATTGATAAGGGGAACTATTATAATTCTCAAGTGTTCTTTATATTTATGCATTTAAACTTATGCACTTTACTTTCATCTTAAATTACTATTAAATCATTTGCTTCCTATAAAATAACAAGTTTATAAACTAAGTGCAAAATCAAGAAATATCCATCAACCATAATTCACTTCTTTCTTAGGATGCATCTCATAGTTACAATGATATTATAGCTAGAGTTAGGTAATTTTCTCATGGGTTCGAGTTAAAATCGATTTCATAAAAACTTTCTTAAGAAAAGAAAATAGCATAAATAAACCACCAAGTTTCGCCTTTAGGTGTTATATCTTTTGGAAGATTATAATGTAAATGTTTCTAGAATTATAATGGGTAGAAGTTTGGAAATCCGTGAAAAATGGTTCATACATTCCTATTGTACTTTTTGAAGGTGTAAGTGAACCAAAACCCGAAGATGCATGGAATGATGATGATAACAAGATTGTTCTATATGATAAGAAAGCCAAAAACACAATAACATCTTCCTTAGTAATAGATTAATTCTTGAAGGTGTCTAATTGTCAAACCGCTAAAGAAATATGGGAAACCTTGGAAATCTCACACGAAGGTATTATTTACTGTAGAAAATGGTAAACAACCGCTGGTCCTCCCATAGTCCTAAATTGAGGGTAACTTGCGAGATCGACCAGTTGATCTCAGGACACGTGCTAAGAGCTTTACTATCACACCTATTTTGTTGAAATATTAGTCAAGGGAGATGGTTTTATTTTGACTGGGGGAACAGGTGTAATGGTTTTCCACACTATGATTTGATCGACTGACTGGTGACTCGTGATCGACAGAAGATATTTATATGAAAGCAAGACTTACTAAACTAACCGACTGGTGACTCGTGACCAACAGATAGTGTCGAATTGTTTATGTGAAACAAAAGATAATGTATAGATCTTGCTCGATAGTAAATAGAAAGCAGATAAAGTACTCAAAAGATATAATAGAAAGATAAAGGATTTGAATTGAAATAAAAATGGTGATTCACATACAATAAGCACTCTTCACTCTTGATTTCCTGACGCTCAGAATGAGAGAGATTGACAAGTGATTTGAGAGTACAAGTGAACACCCCACAAACTATACTAAATCTGCTTATTTATAGTGTTTACAATGTAACTACCTAGATAAAATCTACGGCTAATATTAACATCTTGAGGTAACTACTTCACTAGATGTTGCCACCTATTTGGCGCTCAAACACATCGTGGATTGCTGGTAACTGCTCATGATTTTTA